GATGACATACTCCACATTGCTTCTCGGTCTTTTGGCTAAGATCAAGTGTAGTATCTGTTCGTGTCAGATAACACAGTCTCCACGCCATGCTGCACCTCCCTTCCCTTGAATATGCCTTGTACCGAGTTCCACAGCAGGATGTGCAGAGCCTGCCCGTTCTTTTTCACGGCAGCATAGTACTCCGGCTCAAGATTATTTCTCATGCCTGGCAGCTCAGCTCCCCTCTTCAGACATCTACAAAACGCTGGTCTCTTCAGAGCCCCACCGTCAGCCCAGGGCACAGCAGTCCCAAGTCCAGCCAGAGAGAGGTTAGTGGGGGAAGTGGACCCAGAACTTACCTTTCCATCTGAATCTGACCTCCAGCTGGTAGCAGCTCCCCGCCTGGCCAGCTCTAGCTCTTCCCTGGCCCTCCGCATCCTTTTCCTTTCTTAGGCCCCACCCCTAGCAAGCTGGGCAGGCCTGGAGGGAGATCCTGGAGCCTGAAGGTTCTGGGCGCAAGGGCCTTGGCCAGGGGTTGGGGAAGTCTGGCAAAGGGCACTGGAGAAGTGGTGGGAGGAGGAAGGCATGGCCCAGGGCTGTGGCCTGTGGCTGGACCAGAGGTTGGGTGCTGAGGAAGAAGACAGAGCCTGCTGGTGGCCCAAGGGGAGTGTCAGAGACGGAAAGACAGTCTTGACGTGGGAACACAGACGGATGGGGGGATAACAAAGCCCTCGCGTGCCATTCTGAGAGCCCTTTTCACACTGCAGAGTGCTCTGCGCCTTACAAAAGTCCACTTCAAAAGTAGAAAAGAGTCACCATCCCATGTTGACGCAGAGAAAGCAGGCCCAGGGCGGTGAAGTGACCCACCCAGAGTCACACCCAGAGCCACTGCGATAGGGCAGTCGTTTTGTGAACCCAGATCGTCTCATCTCAAATTCAGGGCTGCTTCTCTCAATTAGCCCGTCTTTCTGTTCTGAACCGGTGCGGGGGAGGCGGCCTAGGTGGCCTGGGAGGCAGGGCCCGGAAGGCAGCAATGTGGAGGGGACCGCCACCCCCGCTTCTGCACCACTCTGTGCTTTCCCACGTCCACCTCCACCCTACGCCCCCCTTGTTCTTGGTTCCGCGGGCTCATTTGGGGGCCCCAGACTTCCTCATTTTCACCGAATCCACACGGGCGGGAGATGGTCCCTGGTCTCTGCCTCCTGACTCTAGAAGGAGAGGCAGCCACTTCCCTGCGGTGCCCGCCTCCACCTAGACAAGGCTCAGGCTTTGAGTGCCCCTACTACGCTCAGAACTCTCTAGACGGGTGGGGGTGGGGCGAGGGGTAGAAGGAAGCAGGGTACCAGAATTGGGAGGGATGGGTAAGGTCTCATCTACCCTGTGCCCCTGGGGACCTCTAGTGACCCCAAGGGGTAAGGGAATGAACGTGATAAAATGCGGACAGGGAGAGACCAGGCAGAGCTGGAAAGCGACCCCCAAAGATGGCAGCCTGAGGAGCAGCGGCCTGATACCAGGATTCCCAGTTGATCTCATGAGATATAAGACCCTCAACGGTGTGCGAAAGACAGGTGTTGGAGAGGGGTCACGGCACCGCGATATTATCGTAACGACCTGGGCCGGGTCTAAGTGATACCGAGACGGTTGGAAAGGGGTGTGTAGCAGTCGCGTCACCGAAGCGCAGACCCCCCAAGGACACAAGGCTCTCATTTGCATCTCGTTTGCGTGCGAGTTATTTCCTCTTCAAAAGGAAGAAGTCCCCCAGCCCCTTACTCCCAGCTGAGACTTCGCCCCAGAGTCGGTGTGTGTGTGTGTGTGTGTGTGTGTGGCGGGGTGTCGTACCCAGTCTTCCGGCCATTCTCTGGCCCCTGTGACCTCCGGCCCTCGGTACCCTTCCATATTTCGCCCTCAGCTCTACCTTTCCCAGCTCCAAAGATACGCCCCAAAGTCCTAGCTGGGTTCCAGGAACGAGGGGTCCTGCGCCGCCTGGTGGCTGGCCGGAGGAAGGCCGAGAGCAGAGGGGTTCTGATTTGCCGGCTCTGGGACGTGGAGTTTTGGAAAATGTTCCCCCGAGCTTCCTGAAGCTAAATTTATCTCCCCCGGCCCTGGGGGGCGCAGAGATCCCGGCGGCGATTAGCGCTGCGCGGCAGCCCGCTCCCGCCCAGGGGCCCGGAATAGGCGCCGAAGTTATAAATAGTGCCGCCCGCAGGTGTGGGGGGAGTCGGCGGGAGGGGGGCA